GTTTCGTGGCCCCATAGGGAGCTCCACCGAAGGCCCCAGTGCCACCGCCCGCATGCGTCACCTACACCCAATTCGGCACACCCCTCACACGTTTCGTGGCCCCATAGGGAGCTCCACCGAAGGCCCCAGTGCCACCGCCCGCATGCGTCACCTACACCCAATTCGGCACACCCCTCACACGTTTCGTGGCCCCATAGGGAGCTCCACCGAAGGCCCCAGTGCCACCGCCCGCATGCGTCACCTACAATTCGGCAGTGGCCCCATCGTTGGCACACCCCTCACACGTTTCGTGGCCCCATAGGGAGCTCCACCGAAGGCCCCAGTGCCACCGCCCGCATGCGTCACCTACACCCAATTCGGCACACCCCTCACACGTTTCGTGGCCCCATAGGGAGCTCCACCGAAGGCCCCAGTGCCACCGCCCGCATGCGTCACCTACACCCAATCGGCACACCCCTCACACGTTTCGTGGCCCCATAGGGAGCTCCACCGAAGGCCCCAGTGCCACCGCCCGCATGCGTCACCTACACCCAATTCGGCACACCCCTCACACGTTTCGTGGCCCCATAGGGAGCTCCACCGAAGGCCCCAGTGCCACCGCCCGCATGCGTCACCCACCCATTCGGCACACCCCTCAGACGTTTCGTGGCCCCATAGGGAGCTCCGCCGAAGGCCCGTGCCACCGCCCGCATGCGTCACCCACACCCAATTCGGCACACCCCTCAGACGTTTCGTGGCCCCATAGGGAGCTCCATCGAAGGCCCCAGTGCCACCGCCCGCATGCGTCACCTACACCCAATTCGGCACACCCCTCACACGTTCCGTGGCCCCATAGGGAGCTCCACCGAAGGCCCCAGTGCCACCGCCCGCATGCGTCACCTACACCCACTTCGGCACACCCCTCAAACGTTTCGTGGCCCCATAGGGAGCTCCACCGAAGGCCCCAGTGCCACCGTCCACATGCGTCACCCCCACCCACTTCGGCACACCCCTCACACGATTCGTGGCCCCATAGGGAGCTCCACCGAAGGTCCTATTTCGGCACACCCCTCATACAGTTCGTGGCCCCATAGGGAGCGCCACCGAAGAAGATACTCAGCATATGGTTGGGTCCTTCGCCAGGACAATTTCCTAATAACCTCATTGTCGCACCCAAAGGCGTGTCGGTAGGGCGGGCGGGCTGTGCATTTCGCCGGACACTTGCTCACCTTTGTATGAGCCTGAAGCCTAGCTTTTGCAAGAGCTGAACGGATTGAGGACGGGGCGTTTTCAAACTGTGGCTCTCGCCTAAAGGCCCCGCACATTCGCCTTAAAACTGTGCAGTCGTTTCACTGGTGTAGGCCGGGCTTCGTCATAAGAATTCGTAACGATTTCAAGGATGGAAAGCGAGCCTGTAACAATATGTAGCTCTCGCCGTAGCGCCGCGCACATTCGTGCTGTGCGTCTGCAACAACTCCGAGGATTCGTATGGTTGGAATCCCCGATGCCGCTGTCTGAAGCAACGCTGTAGTCACGTCGGTTCACGGTGTGGACGTCCCCAAAATAATGTTCTGGCACGATGCAGGATCGTCAGGACAACACATCAATCACGGTAATTTGCGTCGTCGGAATCCCAAGAATAGTTTTTGGCACGATTGAAGACTGTGGGACGGTTGTTTCCAATGGGGCACTTCCGTCAATGAATATCAAGTCTTGTAGAGACCTATGGAACTTGGAGGGACGGTGTATCACAATATATTTTGTGCGGTTTGCGTTCGCACTAGCTATCATCTTCCTCCTCCTCATCATCAGCAACATCGTCACCACCACCACCCTCAATTCCTGTGTCCTATGACAAACTCCACGCTGCCGCACCCCGAAAGCAATCGAAGGGCAGACCGGGAGTTTCGCCTGAGACTTTCTGACCATTTGTGAGCCTCAAGAATGCAGACTGGCAACAGTTTCGCAGCTGCTGCCGCAGCTCTGGCACCCGCCGCCGCCGCCGCCAGCGTCGTCGTCTTCGTCGTCGTCGTTGCCGTTGACGAGATCGTCGTCATCGTCGTCGTCGGCGGATGGACCCTTGCGAGGCCTCGGGAGGCAACGAAAGCGGGAAGGGACAAGACGGGCCGCGGAGCGCGTTCTGGCCTTCCGTCTCTCGGGTTCTTCCCAGTACTCCTGCGGGCGCAGACGAGGCAGGGGAGGAGGGAGAGGAGAAGGAGAGAGAGACAGAGGAAGGGATGAGGGAGGGGATGGCGGGAGAAAGGGAGGGAGACACACACACGCACACACACACATTCACACACCCACACACAGACACACACACACACGCACACACACAGACACACACACACACACACACACACACACACGCACACACAGAGATTGTTTTGGGCGTCGCGGCCCCGTGCGCAGCGGCAGGGCATCCCAAATCGGAGAAGAACGCGCGTGCGCACGTCCAGCGGCCGAGCCCCGGAGCCGCTCAGAACGAGCAGCGCCGTGGCCAGCCGTGGGTCACCCGCATGGATGACCGGGATACGCCGTGCCAGCTGGCGCGGAAATTGCATGCGAGAGGGCGAAAGGGGGAAAAGTAGAAACTACAGCGATGCCATGGCCAAACGACTGGCAGAAGGGCAGGACAAGGCACGAGGGGGCCGAAGGCCAGCAGTGGCGGCGAAGACACCGCAAAGGCGGCACCGTAGAGTTGGCAGCGCCCGCAGGCCCTAAGGGTCGCCAGAAAGTCGGCTGAGAATCAGCCCAAGGGGAAGTTGCCGGCCCGAAGGCCCAACGGGACGGCCGCCCCCCGGGCGCCGAGGGAAGGTGGACGCGCAGAAACGAGATAACGATGGAGGCTGAACCAACACTGGAGATATGTGCGTGCATACCTGGGTGTTCGCCGGGGCAAGCTGGCCAAGGTGCAAGGAGACGGCCTGGACCATGGGCGTACCCAGGGCAGATCGCACGAGCGAAGCAGCCAGCCCGCTCACTACGCCACGCCCTTGACGCACGGCGGGATTTTGCGGGGAGGGCTGGCCGCAGGGTCCGGGACTGCAGAAACCCTGCAAAATGGGGGCGCGGGGATCCAGCACACACACACACACACACACGCATACACACACACACAAACACACACACACACACACACACACGCACGCACGCACGCACGCACGCACGCACGCACGCACGCACGCACGCACGCACGCACGCACACACACACACACACACACACACACACACACACACACACACACACACACACACACACACACGCACGCACGCACGCACGCACACACACACACACACACACACACACACACACACACACACACACACACACACACACACACACACACACACGCATACACACACACACACACACTTCCTTATTTTTGTTTGGCGTCGCGGCCCCGCGCACGGCGAAGGGGCGTAGAACATTGAAAGCCGGCAGAGGAGCGCACACGTCTACGCCCCGCCGAGTTTTCAGAAACCGCTTAGGGTTTCGCAACAACCCTGCAAGCACGCGCGCACCACCAAAGACGGTCACAATTAGAATATGGCGTGGGGGCCTGCCTGCAGGTGACAAACCCATGAGTATGCTGTTGGGAATAATTATGTCGGGCGCCCCACGGCCTGGCAGGTTGCCACGAGGACCTCCCAGGACGGCCCAGGACGCCCCTGGAGGACCCCCGGGGGCCACAGGAGGGGCCCAAGAGGGGCCACAGGCCCCAAGAGTTCCAAGGGACTTGTCACCTGGAGCGTGCGAAAGCAGTCCAAGACCACCACCTCAACTGACAAAACGACGGGCCGTCTCCGGGGGCACCTTGTGGCGGAGGAGAACAGTGGGGGAAGGGAACGGGGGAGAAGCGCGCGCGCGGAGGAGGGGAGGAGCGAGTAGGAAGCGGGGGAAGTGGAATTACGCTCTGATTCGCCGAGGGGGTGGTCAGTTTGGTGCGGCGCTCATTAGCCGCTGGCAGAAACACGCGGTATCTTGCAACACGGGCGTCAAGGTGTAAATGCTCCGCCCGACCTATCCCATACCCCCCTCCCCCCCCCCCCTCATCGTCGGAAGGCGCTCAAGGCGCATCACAACGCCGCAGGAGGAGGGAAGAGGCAAGAGGAAGCATGTCAAAAAAGGGAGCAGGTGAGATGGCCTGAGGAGGGCCGAAAGCCAGCTACGTGGGCTGGCGCAAGGCAGGGGCCAGCGGGAGTGCACGATATTCGCACGCTCGACCTGCGGCCCGTGCCTGCACCAACGCCTCGCTGCAACCCTCGTCCCCGCCAACAGACCTAAACTGCACCCTCCAATCCCTCCGCCCATCCATCATGGACGCGTGTGACAGCACAGCACGTCGACCACGCGAGACGCTCGCTGATCAGGAGGGGGAGGGGGGGAGCTACGGAGGAGAAGGGAGTATGAAAGGTCAGGAAAGAAGGAGTGGGCAACGCGACGTCTGGGACACACATGCCGCACGCTCACGACCACATCCTGCAAAGCTAGGAAAGAGGAAAGGTTAGGACAGAACCGCATCTCCTATGCGAAGCATCTGAAACACTGAACTGCGCTCGCCAGGACAGTGGGGGAAGAAGGGTGGTTATCTTCGCACCCACGAGAAGCGCCGACGCGACTGTCGTCGCGCTATGCCGAGGGGGGAGAAGCGTGGCAGGGCCATCTGCTGATCAGTCGAGCCTCTTTCTCCTAGGGAGGGGGCTCCGGACAGACCAGTCTTGCCATTCGCGGGAGGCCGCGATACTCGCAGCCAGAATCGCATCAGGATCGGCTGAGCTGCGCGTGGGTGGCGGGGGAGTGGGCAGAGGCCCCGGCTGCGTCCACCTACGCACGTGCCGAACAAATAAGTCATCATTCACTATGGCAGCACAGCGAGCAGCTGATGATATGGGCCCGCAGCGAACAATAGGAGTAGAAATTACTGGGATGCACATGGACCCATTTCCACTGCAAACCGAATATTTGGAAGGGCGGGCGGCTGGAGGGCAACAAAATCATACGCTCACGGCGAACTACATTGCTCGTCTCTCGATCGGCGCCTCTCGCGCCGGGGGCCCGAAGATATGCGAAATCGTCGGTGTCAACAATGCTATGCGAGAGGTCACCTTCCGCATCTTCCGGCAGGCCGTCATCAGCATCGCCCGATACACGCGCATCACCACGAGGAGGAACGCGAGCGGTAGAAGGCCGATGGCCTCCGGGCGCGGTGGCGGGAGGACGAGGGAGACGAGCGCCAGCCGTCTGCTCCAGGCTCGGCGGCTCCCGAGCGCGACCGGCAGCCGCAGCAGCAAACTCCGGAGCTCCAGCAGCAGCAGCAGCAAGCTCCCGCGCGTCCAGCGGGCCCGCAGCCCCCAGCGGGTCGGCCTGGGCCGCTGCATGCGGCAGGGCTGGCTCGCCGGGGTGTGCCAGCTGCGCCATGGAGGTCCCGTCGTTGTCCATGTACACCTTGAACTGGGGCCACTTGCCTAGGAAGGCTGCAACATCCGTCTCGCCAGCATCCTGCATGAGGAAGTCAAGGCGAATCCGCCACGTGGCCGCGAATTCCGATCGGGAAGTCGAGCCACGGGAACAGGCCCTCGGCCGCGCAAGACTTTGGCCAACGCCACCACCAGCGCCGGGGCAGCGCCGAGGGCGGGGAAGCCACCGCCTCCGCCAGCGCCGGTGGCGAGGCAGCACGGTCCAGAGCCTCCGGAAACGCAGCACCATCGGGGCGCGCAGGCGGGCCGGCACGAGGCGGCACACGCTCATCCTCTCGAGCGTCATGTGCGGGTGGCGGCAGCAGACAGAGCGGCGGCAGTCCGGGAGCATCATGTGCGGGTCGTGGCGGCAGCGCCGGCAGCTGCGGCAGCGGGCGCGAAGCGCTCGCCGAGGAACGCGGCGGGGCGCAGGGTGCACTCCAGGGTGCAGCAGGGGAGGGGGCGCCAGGGGCCACGCCAGCGGCCGCAGCAACCAGGTCTGGAGCGCCACCGCGAGCAGCCTCGGCCCCCGCTCCAAGAGGCACAGGCGGCGCTGACGAGGGCATAAGCCACCACACGGGCGCGGCAGAAGCTGCAGCCGCCTGCGCCTCGGCGCCCAGGAGCCGCTCCAAAGGCATCCGCTCCGGAGCCCTCGCCAGGCCGAGCTGTAGCACCACGTTGCCGACCGCGACAGTAGCGCTGGCATCCGCCCTGGGAACTACCGTGGGCACCGCGCCAGCTGGCCCGGCGGCAGGGACGGTCGCAGTGCCGGCCACGGCATCCACAATCGGCGGCATGTCATCGATCTGGACGTCCGATTGAACTTCAGGCCGAGCACGAGAACGAGCTTGGGCATCGGCAGCAGCGACTGCGCGAGCGAGGCTAGCCACGTCGCGCATGCAAGGTCGGCGGCCGACTCGGGCCGCGAAGCCGAGCCTGCGCACGGCGGCGCGCAGAGGCGGTCTCGGCCAGTCGCCATGGCGCTGGCCAGAAGCATCTCGCGGCGCGCGGCTGTCCCGGGAGAAGGGGGCGGTCGGGACGGCGCGCATGGGCCCCTAGCCACCAAGTGGGAAATGTCTCCACCAGAGCCGGAGCCTGGGACATTGAGCCAAAATGGCTACGGAGAAAGCGGGGGAGAGAGGGAGGAGAGAGGCAGGGAGGAGGGCGCAAATGGGAGGAGGAAGGAGGGAGGAAAGAGGGAGGAGCAAGGGAAAAGGAAGGAATGATGAGAGGGTGTCAGGCAGAAGGGGGCGGATAAGGGAGACAGAAGCGCTTACCCCAATCATCCTTCTCAGCGGAAGACCCGACTGCCGGCAAGATACTAGCATCGGCGACATACGTGGACAGGGAGCCGAGCCGAGGGAACAATGTAGGCGCACGCGATGGAGAGACCCCAAAGAGCATCGAAAAACCAAAGAAGAGCGGCACTGGGCTCATCAGAGCGGCGCAGTGCGCGAGGCGGCAATAGAGACTGGCGCATATGCCAAATCCTGCTGATGCCACCAGTCATTCCCCTTGTCCTGGCAGGCAGCACGCGGTTATGAAAATACAGTCGGAAGAGTTACTGTACGTCGGCAAATACGCATGCGTGTATGGGCTGCGGGTTCCGTAGCCGCGAGATACGAATCCAAAAGACTCTGGACACGTCCTGGGGCCAGGCAATTGGAAGATCCTCGAAACCACGGCCTCAAAGCTCTTGGGCTTCATCGTGTGCCCTCCTCCTCCTCCTCCTCCTCCTCCTCCTTCTCCTCCTCCTCCTCCTCCTCCCCATGCTTCACCCGTTTACTACCCTAAGAAACGCTGAACAAGGAAAGAGCCCTCTTGTTGGCCCCAGGAGCGCCTGGGTGCACGATGAGCGCGCGAGAGAAAAGCCGTGGATGGGCACGCGCGTGCCGTCCGCCTGCGGTACGGTGCTCCACTGGAGGGCAACGATCCAGCGGCCAAAGCCAGATCTCCCCCCCTGATCCTCACCTTGCGCCCCCACCTGGGGTCTGGGAAGAGGCTGCTCCCTGGTACCCTGTTCGTCCTCGAAAAGACTGTGGGAGCAGCGGAAGCCACGAGCTGGAGCTTCGAAGGACGATCCGACAGGAGCCCTCAAAGGAGCTCGCCAACGACGAGAGGACGAACACATGTTTAATATTTGTCTCCCGGTTGGCACTACCGTTCCTCCATCGTGGGAACCTCGGGGGTAGGGGGACAGCAAACAAAGAAGACCCCTCAGAACGAATCTCCCTACCTCGAACATCTGCCCCCCGACCGCCTCTTGCCCAAGCTGCCCATGGGGAAACACACCGAACGTATCGAAACAAGAAGACCACACGGACGGGAGGAATGAAACAGTCAGACCTGGCGACACAGCGTGGGCCTAAGCCGTAGAGCAGTGGCAAACCAAGACAAGTCAATCGTGACCAATGCATGATGAAGTTTATTGTTCGGAGATGTTGGAGTTCGCCTGGATATCCCAGCTGACTTGACAATAACGCGACGAAACATCAACACGCAATGCCACCGAGCTCAGGTATGAGCGTCAGCTGCATTACTTGACTGAGGGTGCTAAACAGGCTACAGAGCAGGCCTGGTACGACACACGCAACAACACGATGTTGTGGGAAATTGAAGCCATGGCATGGGTATGATGGGCAATTCGAGGGGTCAACAGCATATGGAACTTGCAACGTGATTCAAGAATACATGTGGACCCTGGTCGATATTATAATTCGGTGTAGCTGTGTAGCCTTACATGAAAGAGTCCAATGTGCATGCCGCAACAATCGCCACATCCACGTCATGACATAAAGATGGCGCCCACAATATAGGAAGACGAGTACGTGAAAACGGGTCATGGGCGGTGTGTGTGTATGTGTGTGTGCAGCGTTGTCTCAAATACCTCACGTTTGGGGGATTGTTCGACGCGTCTCGGCTGTGAGGGTAGGGGGAGGGTTTATTAGAACGAGGCCGCCTCTTAACAGGCGTGGGCCTTACCTGTATACATAAGGCCCACGCCTTCCAACATGGCCCTGCCCACTCAGGGCGGTGGTGTACGGTCGGGGACGTACACTGCCAACCCCCTTGTGGGGCCATCGAGCTCCGCGGCTTAGGCTTGCAGCTCCACGCTCCAATTCCACGATCCAATCTCCGATGCTACCCGGTTGTGAATTGTTGAAGTCCGCGAGAAGGGGGGGGAACCGAAAACAGTCCTGGTTACCATCACTATTGGGGTTTATCCGGATTCCTGGGGTGTCCTGGGACACGTAAACATACTGGAGATTCGCGCCCCCGAAACCATGATCTATCGTAAATTCCGCGGTGTTCGCGCCCCCGAAGCCAGAATCCCTCGTAAAGTGCTCCATGCTCGCGTCCCCGAAGCCATACACCCTAGCAGATGACGCTGCGCTCGCGCTCCCGAGACCATACTTCCTTGTAAATGAAGCAATATTCGCGTCTCTGGGGCAATACTCTCTCGCAAGTTACGCAATGCTTGCGCCCCCGAAACCACAACCCCCTTTGTACATTACCCGTTCATCGCGTCCCCGATATCAGAAACCCTCGTAAGATACGCAATATTGGCGCTTTCGAAGCCACACTCTGTCATAAAAGGGGACCCAAGACAATGCAAGAGGCCTCCGACATGGCCCAAGAGTGCCCCAGGGCGCCCAAAATGGTCCCAAGACGGCGTAAGAGCTCCCAAGAGGCCCCCAAGAGCGCTCTGAGAGCCGACGCTGCTTCACGACGGCGCCCAGGCCTCACATCATAGCTCTTGCGTCGCCCATTATCCGAAAGAGGGGGCGGGCGGCAGGGGGCGAAGCCCTAGCGGATAACAGGGGGTATGTCCACCCCTATCCCAGGCTTCGTCGGGCTTTCGAACGGACGAGAAATTGAGGGCCTAACTCGGGGATATCCGCCACCGTGCCGCTGGGCACGGACATGGCGCTTGAAGCAGAAACGTCATGCCGTATGGCGGAAACAAAACAAAACATGGCGACGAGATGTGATAAGAGCCCTCTATCACTCCCGGCGCCGCAGATCAAGTACAGGCAACGTCGCCAACACTGGCAGATATGGCGGCGCTGCCTTGAGCCGGGATGGCAGCAGGTAGGCAAGCATGCTATGTCCCCTCGCCCTTGGGACATTCCATCAAAGTGGCGCGTCCGCAGGCCCTGAGCCCAATCCTGCAAACCTCCATCCTCACTCGTGAGAATGATTTTACGGGCCCGGGCCCCAAGTTCTCAAACCTCCCGGGGCGTCCTGCGTGCCGCGTGCCCCCAGGGCTTTGCCAAATGGTGGCGCGTGAATTGCTCGGGCTTAAGAGGGCCCCAAGACGGGCCAAGCGGCCTGCAAGACGACCACGAGATGCCCAAATATCGGCCCAAGACGCCAAGACGCCCAAGATGGCCTCAAGAGGCTTCCAAAGAGGGCCCCAAGAGGCAACAACCGTTGAATTCTCTTAATGATGTTGAAGGATTTTGGCGTTTTCGCCTTTTCTGTTTTCCGACGCTCCAAGACGGCCCAAGAGGCCCCCAAGACTACCCAAAAGCGGCCGAAGAGGCCTTCAAGAGGGCCCCAAGACGGCCTAAGAGCGTCCCAAGACGGCCCACGAGGCGCCCAAGACGGCCCAAGAGGGCCCCCAGACGGCCCCCACAGGGGCCCAAGAGAGGGAGCACGAATCGAAAATCCGAGCCTTCCACCCCAAGAGGCCTCCAGGAGGCCCCAGCAGGCGCTGAGGAAGCCCCGAGAGGCCCCCAAGAGGCTCCGAAGAGACCCCAAGAGACCCCCAAAAGGTCCAAAAGATGCCCCTAGGAGGCTCCCAAACGGCCCCAATGAGACCTCCGAACTGCCTTCAAAAGGCCCCCGAGAGACCTCCCACGAGATCTCAACGAACATCCAATAGGCTCCGCACCTACAACCCAGGCGCGGTGGCGGGATGGGCCGAAGGCCATTCGATTCGCCGCCCCGTGTTAATCTATCACAGGGGGGCCTAGCGTGCTAAACTTCTCAGTGCTTGGTTTTGGCTCTTTTCCAAAAGAACTCCCGCTGGGCCTTCGGTCCATGCCGCCGGCCGCTCAGAAGGGACCGGAAACAACCTCAACATCCGAAAACTATCTCCTCCGACGGCTCAAGATGGCCTCCAAGAGGGCAAGACGGCCTCCAAGTTCGCCCAAAGATGGCCTCCAAGACGGCGCAAGTTGGTCCAAGATACCTCCAAGTCCGCCCAAGAAGCCTCCAATACTGGCCAAGACAGCCCAAGAGGCCCCCAAGAGGCCTCCAAGAGAGCCCAAGAGGCCTCCAAGATGTCCTCCAGGAGGAGATCAGGTTCTACTGCGGCCAGATCGGCTTTTGTGCTGCCCGGTGGGCTTCTTGGGCCCTCTGAAGAGCCTCTTGGGGCCTCTGAAGAGCCTTTTGGGGCCTATGAAGAGCCTCGTGGGGCCTCTGAAGACTCCCTGAAGAGCCTCTTGGGCCCCTTGAAGGGCTTCTTGGGGTCTATGAAGAGCCTCTTGGGGCCTCTGAAGAGCCTCTCGGGGCCTCTGAGGGCTAGCAGGAAGGGAGGCAGCAGGAGCATGTAGCGAGAGGAGCGTAGCGCAGAGGGACAGGAGGAACAATGAACAACGAGAAAGAGAGGCGGGAAAAGGTAGGAGTGAGAAGCCAGGAGAAGGAGCATGGGGGCCAGGGTGATGATGACAAGGACGAGCGATGAAGGGAGATTACGCATATGATGTTGACAAGTGCAAGACGAGGGGAGGATAATCATGACGGGGAGGATGAGGATGAATATGATGATAATCGCGATGCTCAGGAGGACGATTGTAAGGGCCAGCGCGGGCCGCAGTAAGACCCACCAGGCCGCGCGCAGGGCCGCACATTACCCAACGGGCCGCACAAAAGACCAACGGCCGCACAAAAAATCGCCTTCAGGAGGGCCCGAAGGGGCAAAATTCATTGAGTTCCCTTGGTCTTTTGAAGGATTTGGGCATTTGCTTTTTGTTGGGCCCTCCGACGGCCCAAGGCGGCCCAAGAGGCCCCGAGATCGCCTCCAGATGGCTCTTACGGCCGCCAAGATGGCCCTATGACGGCCCAAGAGGCCCCCAAGGCGGCCCCCAAAAAAGGGCCCCAAGACGGCCCGAAAGGCTCCAAGACGCTTTAGATGGCCTCCAAGACTGCCCTGGAGCACCCCAAGAGGGCTCCGGTCGGTTCAGAGAGGCCCATAAGACGGCATCCGACGACGTCAGACGGACCAGGGTCACCCTAAGTCGGCTAAAGAGGACCCCAAGAAGTCCCCAAACGCCCCAAAGAGGCCCAAGGAGGCCCCCAAGATGCATCCAAGAGGACCCCAGAAGCTCCCAGGAAGCGCTCAGAGTGCCACCAAAGGCTCCCAAGATGCCCCCTCCTCCTCCTCCTCCTCCTCCTCCTCCTCCTCCTCCTCCTCCTCCTCCTCCTCCTCCTCCTCCTGGTCTTCCCCGCCATCCTCACCCAAATGTTCCCCGAAAGGTTTCCACAACGGCTGGGGGAACACATGGTCCGGTAG